TGTGGTCCAATGTGATCGTTGGACCGGGATGCTCGGGCCAACCCGGACCCGACCTGGTCCGATCTGACAAAAAATAGTCTCTTTTGACCAAAATATGTGGTCCAATGTGATCGTTGGACCGGGATGCTCGGGCCAACCCGGACCCGACCTGGTCCGATCTGACAAAAAATAGTCTCTTTTGACCAAAATACCCCTAAAATGGTCAAAAATAACCAAAATTTGAGGGTATTTTGGTCATTTGGCTAGGGGACTGCCTCTGTAAATAGAGAGGGATTTTATTTGTTTTTCTCATCCAAAATTCATCTACTTCTCTCTAATACCCTCTTGTACTCTCAAATACTCTCTTATTCTCTCTTTCACTCTCTAATTCTCCAATCAAATGGCTTCCTCCTCCGATTATGAAGGACAAGTTTCAACTCCCGATATTGAAATGAGTCCTACTCCTACTACACCTACCGCTACTCCTACTACCAATGTTGATCCTGAATCCGGTGGCGATGATCCTACAACTAGAGCTCTTAAAAGGCTGAGATCTGATGTGTGAATTTTTTTTGAGAAGATAGAAGTCACCAATGATCAACACGGTAAACTTCTCACCCAAAAGGCTAAATGTGCATCGTGTGGCCATATTTTCCAAGCTCATCATAAAAGCGGCACAAACCATCTCAAATGCCATTTAGAAAAGCACAATAAAGCTCAAACGACAATGTCTTAAGGAGATATCTATCAGTCTCTACTCTCCCAATTATCAACCTCAGGTAGCCACTATTCTTAGAACTATGACGCAATTAAAGCCAGGAAATGCGTCAGCAGGCTTATTATTCTTAAAAACCCTCCTTTTAAATTAGTAGAAGATGATGAATTTGAGGATATGATTAGCGATGATTTTTATTTCTCATTTAAAAAAAATCTTGTCAATTTTGTCAATGTGATATTTTGACAAAATAAATATTATCACAAGGAACAAACAAAAATAAATGTTGTCAATGTGATAATATTTTGAAATATTATCACAAGGAACAAACAAAAATAAATGTTGTCAATGTGATAATATTTTAAAATATTATCACGAGGAACAAACAAAAATAAATTCTTATTTTCAAAAATTAAATACTAAGTTTTTTGTAACTTCTGATATTTGGACATCTAGAGCACAAATTGATTATTTATGTATCACAGCACACTGGATTGATGACAATTAGCCAATGTTTAAAAGAGTTGTTTATTTTATTGTACTTAAAGATTCACACACTGATATTAATTTAATAATAGAAGAACTTTCAAAATTAAAAATACCTAAAAAATATTTTCTCTTTCACTAGATAATACAAGTAATAATAATGTAGTTGTAGATCATATCAAATTATCTTTGTTATTGCCATGTCATGGTGATATTTTTCATAGTAGATGCATGTATCATATTTTAAATTTAATTGTTCAAAGTGCATTTAATAAAATTAAACCAATGATGGAAAATGTAAGGGTTATATCTTTTGCTCATAATGCTTCTGAACAAAGACTTAAAAGATTAAAACAATTATGTAAAATAAAAAATTTAAAAACTAGGTTAATTCTAAAAGATGTCGATCATAGGTGGAATTCTATCTATGCAATATTAAATGCATCAATAGAATATAAAGAAATTATAAATAATTTTATTGCTTTCTATGCTTTTAGTTCTATCTTTAGTAATATGTATGGAATAACTAATGAAAAATGGACAGTTATATATAGTGTAAAAGAGATATTACAAGTTTTTATGGTGCTACTATGTTGTTATCTAGTTATTATTATCCAACTATTATTCAAGCTGCTTTACAAGTTTTAAATATTCAAAAAAAATTACTACTAATCATATGGATACTTATTTTGGAAATATGATTTTTAAATGGAAAGTAAATTTAATAAGTATTTTAGGCCTATTCATATTATTTTTGGTTTAAGAGTTCTTATCGATCCATGTTTGAAGGATGTTGGCATCGAAAATTTATTAAATTATTTATATGAGAACATGATAATAGATACTGATGATGATCAGACTGCTACTATTCTTACTCATCATAGCACTATTAAATATTATTTTCAAAAATTATATGAGGAGTATGCATGTAGATATTGTATAAGTACACATCAACCTACAACTTCTGCTTCTATGAGTTCAAGTCGGGATAAAGGTAAGAGTTTTGATAGGTAATTAATGATAGCGAGGCTAACTGGTAGCCGTGATCTGGATCTGGATCATCATCAAGGGAAGTTTATGAAATTGAATAATATTTAACCGCACCTTTAGTTGATGCTCAAAATAATGATTTTGATATCTTGCAATTATGGAAAGTATATGGAACAGTTTCATACCTTATACTTCCATCATGGCTCGTGACTTACTAACAGTGCAGGTTTCTACGGTAGCTTCGGAATCCGCATTCAACACATCAAGATGTTTGATTAACGACCATAGAGCATCGCTAGATTCATCTACCGTACAGGCGGTACTACAAGATTGGTGGAGGTCCAAGAAGAGAACTCAAGGCATCAATCGGATGGCTAATATTGAAGATAGACTTGATGAGTTGTCAATAGGAGATAGAGATAAAGAGTAGAATTTAGTCAAAATACTCATTATTATTTTTTATTTCTTAGCTATAAATTTTTTATAATTTATTTTGGAAAGAGTTGTAAATGAGAGTGATATAGATGAATAGGTGTCAACCTAGTTGGGATGTATTTATCTATTGTGATGCGATAAATTCTAAAAAAATTATAATTGTTAGTGGTTTAATAATAAAGAATTTATTTTTTTACATTTTAATTTCTATGATATTTGTATTTGTAAATTGTATAATTAAAAGTTATTAATAATATGATTGATTTTTTATCAAGATTTTTCATATTTTATTTTTAATTACTCTTGAAATTTCATTTTTTAGGAAAAATTTAATTTTCAAGGAAGAAAGAAAATAAATTGGGCCGGCCCCGTGCCATGCCCACTCGGGCCCGGGCTAGGACCCAAACCCGGCCTGGTTCAATTGGGCTCGGGTCCAGATACCCCATTTTGCCCGGCCCGGACCCGATTTTTCGGGCCGGGCCGGGCCGGACAGGTTGGACACCCCTACAACCCTTTGTAATTCAACTGTACGAAAATAACAGTATCATTTATCATTTTCCCATTGTTTACCTTTGGATACTTGTCATCATCTTATTGTTATTATTATTATTAGGGTTTTTGCATCAAAACCATCTTTCTTTTTACTCAAATTGATATTTACCATCTAGTTTTTTTGATGTAAACCATATTTATTTACTAACATATTTGCAATATCACACTTTTTTTACCGTTCACCTATGAAAAATCAGATATTTTACCCCCATCTTCTTCCTTCTAACCTCTAACCCTAACAATAGCCTCCTCTGTTCTCCTCTTCCACAAACCATAACCTAAACTCTAACTCATGGCCACCACTTCCCTCAAAACCTTAACCCTAACACATGGCTGACACCTCCCTCAAAATCATAACACTAACACATGGCCGCCACCTCCCCAAACCCTAACTCTAATCCTAGTTCCCACTTGGGGGGGAATGGGAGAGTCGGAGGTTGTAGAAAGAGGGAGGACAGAGAGAGGGGGATGGGAGTTGGGGGAGGAGGTAGAGGGAAGATGGTGAGAAGAGGAGGATGAGGAGGCTAGGGTTAAGGCTAGGGTTTGTGAGGAAGGAGATCAAAAAACAAGAAAATAGTTAAGGTAAAATGGTCATTTTGCATATTTTTTGCTGAAAACTGGATTAAGTGTGACATTACAAACATGCCAGCAAGTAAAGATGGTTTACATAAAAAAAACTTTAAATGTGGTAAGTATCAGTTTGAGTAAAAGTAAATGTGGTTTTGATGTAAAAACTCTTATTATTAAGTCCTCAAGCACATGTCCTAAGACTTTTGGTTCCCAGTCCCTCTATTTTTCCTCCTTTTGCAAATGTCTTCTGAATTTTTTCTATGTTAGTCCCTTAAATCTATGATATGTTGAGTTTACTCCCTCAAATCATAGAAATTGCTATTAGGTTCCTTAATTGTTAAACTATTTTGTAGTTAGTCACTCAAATCATTGAAATTACTATTAGGTTCCTTGAATCTTAAATTCTTTTGAAATTAGTTCCTCAAACCAAGGGTAGAAGTAGGAGTTAGTGAGAAATTAATTACTGAAAGTCATTGAAAATAAATTAAGATTTGAGGTTGTCAATAGCAGTTTCAATGATTTTTTGGACGAATTTCAAAATTAGACCTATATCAATTTCCATGACTGGAGGGAACCATTTCAAAATATCAAAGATTGCGGTACTAATATAAAAAAACCTCGTTAATTATTAGTGTTTTATTTTATGTCAAGAGCTTTAGCGAGTTGAATCAAACATCCCTTGAAACAAAAGAACGGGGAAAGGAAAAAGGAATCAAAAGTCGAGCATGGATGAAGATGAAGAGCTACTCCCTCTGAAGAGCTACGCTGTGGGATCTCTAGCTACAACATTCTACATCCCCAACTTCATCACCCAATCTGAGCAAGCCCAACTCCTACATCAAGTAATTTCCTTTTTTTTTTTTGCTTTGGTTTTTATTTTCTTCAAATTTATTTGGGTCTGTAAACCCTTATGGTTGTGCAGACATACGTTGTCTCAGCATCCAGATGGAAATCTTTGAAGAATCGCAGATTGCAGAACTGGGGTAAAACCTTTTTTTTTTTAGTTTTTGCTTGAATTAATGAAATATAAATTGAAATTTTAGTTACCCACTTGATTTTTTACCTGTACTAGGTGGAGTGGTGCATGAGAAGGGCCTTCTGCCACAAGATTGTGAGTAGATTTTATTCCGTTTATCTTCGTGCTGGCTATCAGAGACACTGCATTTAAACTGTTTGTGAAATTGACTAGTAGAATTTGTGAATTGATTATTGCATTGTTAGTCTTCTGTTTGTCATGAATATGCGAGAGAGTGCACGATGATCTTGTTTCTAGTTTTGGGCTCTTAAGTATATGTAGGTTCTTTTTTGTTACATCAACTCCTATGTGCATATCACCACAAACATTAAGGCTGGATTGTTCTCACAGGACACTGCCACATGAACTTATCTAGCTACTAACTTTCTCACTAAATCGTTCTGGTCAATAACTTGACAAATTATGTCAATTATGTTAGAGATGGTAACATTTTGTCGAACTTTCATCCTGGACCATGTTATCAAACTCCCATACAAATTAGAGTGGCTCTAAATCGCGTCATTTTATTGAGAAGGGTTATGTGGAAATTCATTTTTTGTTAGGGGAATTATGAAAAAGGAGGGTGTTGCATAAAATCTCAAAAGCTGGTAAGGAAAAAAAGAAAAGACTACTCAATTTATCACGTCATACTAGCTCATATCACGATGATGCAAAAAATCTTTTCCTGCCGCTTATATATTCACTAAAATAGTGCTTTTCTCATGCATGTTTAATCGCCAAATCTTTTTGAGGGCCTTATTATCCTATAATTCCCCTCTTATTATGGGGTTAAACATAACACAAAAATAAGCAAATTCACACTTAAAAAATAACCATGTCCTATGTGCTATGCATACTTAGTAAACTCGAGACAATCTTGTAGTTTCATGCATGGCTAATATTTTAGATATATATTGCTTCAGTGGGAATTTTTACTCCTTTCTGGCTTTTGTAGTGCCTCCTTGGCTCAAAAAGTTGACAGAAAGAATATGCGAGCAAACAGGATTATTTCCCTCAGCTATCAATCACGTGCTTATCAATGAATACCTACCTGAGCAAGGCATCATGGTATGTACCTGAGATGCTCTACTTTTTTATATACTCTCATAATCATCTCTCTCTTCCTTAGAATGCTCAAAATATAACCATGGATTTATACTTCTTTCAGCCCCATCAAGACGGTCCTGCATATTTTCCCGTTGTTGCAATTTTATCTCTCCAGTCACCTGTTGTCATTGATTTTACTCCACACCCAAGATTAAAAGAATGTAAAGACAAAGATAAGGTCACTGCAGAAAATCAAGATATAACTGACTCATCATCCAAAGTTGGGGAAAATGGTTTATCAGATGAGCTGATACCCAGAGAAGAATATGACCGGCAACCACAATCCCTTTTATTGATGCCTCGTAGTTTGCTAATATTTAAAGATCAGGCTTATTCTGGTAAACATCTGTTTTGTGATGCTTGAGTTCTGATATTTCCTTTAGACAGCATTTTTTAAGGATTACATTCAGGTACCCTGAGGTATGTTGTGATTTCACGGGTGAACCTAGAGTCTCTGTACCCAAAGTTCCAAACTGATAGCCCTGAGATTAATGATTGTTATTACACTGGTGGCCTTGGAGTTCTTTTATTATTATTTTTTTCTCCTCAGGGTACCCAATGCAGTCAGTACTTTCAGGATTACCCGTATAGATACGCAGACGCCAACACCATACCTCACGGTACCTTAATGCAATTAACCCTTTTTTAATAATTTTAAGTGTTACTAATGGTTTGTGTTATATACAGATTACTTGCATGGTATAGAGGACTCAGAGGTACACAGATTAGATAAGGTGAGACTTAAAAAGAAAATAACCTGCTTATTGCCAAGGATTGTGATTCATTGAAAATATCACTTGATCGTCATACTGTCATATTAAGTAATCAAACATCGTCTCAGCATCAGATGGCATCTCCTATTACAACTCGTCTTCTTTTTTTTTCCTCTTTTTAACTTTTACTAGCCTAAGAAGTTTTAGACTGTTACCTAATTTACTCTAAGAAGTTTTAGACTGTTACCTAATTTACTCCAGCGTGCTCGCAAGACTGTCTTATTCGTGCATACTAATTAATGGTGCACTTTGATCCTGCTCATCAAAATTGAGGACCCCAAGAAATGAAAGGAGAACTAACGGCTAATAGATGTGATGAGCTGTTTTGGTATTGCTATTGTTTATGCGTAATATACTTAATTTGCACTTTTCAAGAGTTGCACTATTACATCATGGGAGCTTGATCATAGTGAAAGAAACAAACTTGATACTGGGAATAAAGGGAGAAATCAAAGACAGCTCAAGGATTATTGCTTTGGATCAATAAGTGATTTCTCGTAATTGGTCCTTGAGCCATCGTTTTATCCTTTTCCACTCTGAATTCAATTTTGGAATGATAGTGCTGAGCTAAAAGATGATAGCAAGAAGTAAGCATATTGATCCTCTGTGAGGTATTTGCACCCATTTATTTCACTGTTTCAGTGGGGGCATCTTATAAGTTGCATATCCATTTCTATTTCTTGGACTGATTCTTTTTTTTCCCCCTCTCTCTTCAGGTTGCGAATGTTTCTGAGATACCGAAACTACAAGACACTATAGTTGCAAGTAGTTCAGACAGTGCAGGTGGAATTGGTAGCAGCTTTCACAGAACTTCAAATCGAGCCTCACTAACTTGTCGCTTGGTGCCCAAAGTTCACAAGAAGCTGTTCAAGTTTTAAGAGCATACCCTACTGTAGAGCTTTTGCTATAATTATTGAAATTGACACTGTTTTGATTTTTATTAAGGTTCTGAGCAGCTAGGCCTCATAACAAATATGTATTTGGCACATGGAAACTCTTAAAAAGAAATAATAATTTACTTGATTATAAATATTGTACCAGTTTGGTTGCTTTTGTTTAAATTTCTTATTCGAGACGTTCAAATGATTTCTCTCTTTCCTAAATCCTAATGAAACCACCATTTCTTGCTGGAAGGTTACCATCAAGTTTGCCCTTAACAGTAAGGAAATATTAGAAACAACCTAAAAATAGGTTAATTTTACGCGAATCACCTTTGAATTTCAATTTATGTACAACACACTTTTAAAGCGGATTTTTATAGTAATCAACCAGCTCTCAGCCAAAATTTTCACTTAAAATCCATAAATAACCTTTAAAAACTCTCATTCAAGACGCATACCTAATTTTGTTAATGTTTAGCTTTAGTTAAGATGCAAGTCATGCATCTTAGCCATGAGTTTTATTTTTTAAGTCATTTTTATTTTTTAGTGAATATGCGAATGGAAGGTGATTAATTACACAACACAAAGCTGCTTTAAAGATGCTTTGTCTATGACTTCACATTCAATGAACGCGCCTGCAAAATTACCTGATTCCTGGGGAAAAGCTCCAGTATATATGCATTAGAAGCTAGAACTTAACAGTCAGCTCCAAACGTCTTGCACCAACAAGTAAAATTCCAAAGAAAGAAAAAACATTAAAAAATCAGTAGCATCAATAATAAAGTTCTAAAAAGGTCTCAATCCAACTCGAGAATTACTTCAAGCTCCAAAAATTTATCCTTTATCTCGACATTTATCCTTACAATAAATCCACAATTACATTCAGATAAAATTTAAATCAGCAGCTTCACAGTTCAAAGTTCAAAGTTTCGGTCTCGGTGGACACAATTGCTACTGATGGCCTTGCTAACAAAGCTTTACAATAAGGAAAAAAACTCATTGCAAGCGGGAAAAAATGCATTACAAATTGGTGCTGCAAAATTTGCCATTGTAGAAGTAATTCATGCAATCAGCTAGAGAAGCAATTGCATTTAGGCATTGAGTAAGCTTCGTTATTTTATTTATGTCGGGGTTTTAAATGATGCCCATAAGAAAAGATAAACAGGAGTTATTGAATCAAACTCGAATCCCTAGTTCTGCTATCTTCAGTATCTTTTTGTTCAGATCACGCCTCTGCTGTTTGAGATCAGATGCCATAGAAGCCACCTGCGAAGAAATATGTACATCAGTTCATGCTTATAAATATATATAACTTCAGATAAGTAAATCATGTAAAACTAATTATAGAGCGTGTTTCAAGGGAAAATTCATAATGCTTGCCTCTGCTCGAAGTTTGAGGGCACTTCTCCCAGGCATTGCCCGTAGTCCATCCATCAAATCTATGAAATCCAGATCATTTTAAGTATTAACCAAAGAGCCTAAAATAAAATTAATGATAGAAAGATCCTTTCTGAAATTGGTGAAGAAATTAAAAAACTATTATTCTTAAGAACAGCAAAAGATCTGATAATAACCCAAAACTATGAGTCAAAGGACACTGCAAGTGATTCTCAAGTGCAAATGAAGACTAAGATAAACCAAAGAAGTAAATGCTAATGATACATACCTGCCGCTTGAGATTCAATCTTATAAACGGATTTTGAAAGCCTTTGAATCTCATGCCCTGCATCCCTGTAAAAAATGTTTGCACAATCAAGCAACGCACAAACCTCGAAGAATGCTCCTATATCAAAAAGCTAAAGCATGGGCATACTGTGATTATAATATACTGCTAATGATGCAAGTGGTCCCATTCGGGTGTTCATCTATTTTGATAGGACAGTGGGAGACACCCACACTGGCTCTTACCAAAATTTGAATGCAAACATTAATGTTTCTACATAATAACCATTTGCCTTAACAGTCCGTTTCTAATAATAACATTTAGAATCTAGCTCAGCGGTAAGTTTTAAGAATAGAGTATTGGAGCAGGAGATCATTGCTTTTCAAGTCTTGGCTATGCTTCTTCTTCCTCTTTTTGGCTTACCAATACACAACAAATTAAAAGGTTTATTTGTGACTCTTGACCAGTTTCAGTAGAACAATTGAATAGGAATCCTACCAGCCCCCCATGGTGCAGGGTGTTCTGGGCATTTTATTTGCCCCCTGTTTGGCATGACGAATACTATACCGTGCGGGGTTCTGATAATTCCTACTCCAACAATTAACAATAAACATGAACAACTTAAAGATTATTATTGACTAAATGAATAACAACTTAAATTAATATTTAATTCCGACGATGAGCAAAGGTTACACGTCAAAGTATATAACAACTTATCGATTCTTTCAAATTATAGTTTAGAGAATTTAGGCATAAGGATCATATTTAAAAAAACTAAAGATATAATCTAATCTTTCTTGTACAAGCATCATATGAAAATAGTAGTTTTTTTCCAGCCGCAGGTGAAAAAATTCCTCTATACCCACTGGTCGGATTCAATCCATGTCATCACATCTCGTCCTCGAATTAGAGCCAAAACTCCAAGATATACTTTTTTTATCAGGTCCGTTGGTAATCTTCTCAGGTTAGTTTTGGTGATACATAAATTTTCTAGACTAATACTGGGTTCCAAAATAAAATTTTAGCTAATTTAACTGGGTAAAAATTTAGGCTAGATGTACGCATCAAGTATCCATGGAGCCATATTTGTGAGTTTTAAGACTTAAAGTTGGGAAGATAAGCATCCCTCATTTTCGATTCTAGGTATGGTCATATGGGTTGATCTTTAGGTACGTATCAGATCTATCTACTCGGCTCAATTGCACAAGCAACATGCATGTCTATACAATTAAAACTTATTGATGAAGACAAGAATGGCATTTCTATATTTGTATTTGAATTTTAATTATTTCAGTTTTTAGTAGTCAATTTCGAATTTCGAATTTCGAATTTCGAATTTCGAAAATTTGAATTTTAGTTTAGATTTGAATTTCAAATTAGGTTTAGATTTGGTAGTGATTGATTATGAGAGATTTAAGTGATTATGAGATATTTGTGGGATTTAGAAAATCTTCTAATTCTGTATTTTTTCTCTTCTATTTAAACGCTCTTGTAATCAAAGTGATTTATTGAATGAATAAATGAAGAAAATATTTCGTTACCTGATTTTGGTGTGAAACCGTACGGCCTAGAGGTGTGAAACCCTAGCCGTCGTCTTCTTCTCCCCCTCTTCACCTCCGAACAACAACTCAGTCATCCCCTCCACCTCCGACAATAGCCAAACACCCCCGCTTCCTCATTCTTCAACAACGTCACCGCCTCTGCTCCTTGAATGCCCTGACAAATCGCTGACTGATCGTCCCATCTCGTCGTTGCCTACGCCCTCCCGCCATCGCGTCACTCCGCCATCCTCGTCAAGTCGATGATGTCGCCACTTCGACGACCATTTGATGTCACATCCTAGTCGTCGCCAGTTGTAAAATCGCCTGTCGCCTGCGTCGTACGTCGTCGCGTCCTCGTCCCGCCGGCTGCAGCGTCCTCCCTTCGCCGATTCCTTCCGCAGTCGCGTCGTCTGCAGTCGCGTTGTCGTCACATCGTCTCTCCGCTCCCCTCAGATCGAAGAACAGAGAAGGCACTTCGGATCTGGAGTGCTTTGACCAAAACCGACCCCATTTCATTTAGGTCTGCTTTTGTTTTGGTCCAGACCGAGCCAGGTTTAGTTGAACCTGATTCCCTGCTTTTGTTTTGGTCCAGACCGAGCCAGGTTTAGTTGAACCTGATTCCCAGTTCAGATTCAACCCGCATAGTTCAACCCGACGAAGGTTTCGTTTCTCTCACTCAGTATTTTTCGTAATCTCATTTTAATTAGTTAATTGCATGAATATATCACCTCTAAACTCTTATCATATATTCAATGCTTAGATTGAATTGGTGAGTTAAGAGTAACTGAACATGTGACTGTTAATTTTGATATTGATTTTAGAACTTGCGAAATGATAATTAATATTATGATTAAAATATTTGAGAGTGGAATTGTTCATGATTATCGTTGCAAATCTTGTTAAAATCCATCTGTCACTTTAACTGTTTTTAATTAATTTCCTACCGAAGATCATGAATTTTGGCGAAACGATGCGTTGTTCGAATTAAATCGCTGATTCCGACAGACCCCTCCCCCGTTTCGCATCACTTATGATGAAATACAAGTAGATCAATCAAAGAAGAAGACCTGATTTTCACTAAGGTTTAGGTAGATCTGTCTATTCAACTCAATTGCACAAATACAATGCACATATACACAATCAAACTTTGTGATGAATTATAAGTGGATTGCTCATAGAAAATTATTTCAGTGTTTCCTCATAGTGCATCCTCTTCCTGATAACTCCCCCTTCAATATTCATATTGAATTTATTGTGCTTGGATAGGTAAATATGCAGCCATGATGTAGATTTTAGATAAAGATTGATTCGTGATAGCGATAGGGTGTAGGTATGTGTCAAATATGTCTACTCAACTGCATGTGGGTAGGATGTAGGTATGTGTCAAATATGTCTACTCAACTGCATGTGGGTAGGATGTAGGTATGTGTCAAATATGTCGAATTAAATCGCTGATTCCGACAGACCCCTCCCCCGTTTCGCATCACTTATGATGAAATACAAGTAGATCAATCAAAGAAGAAGACCTGATTTTCACTAAGGTTTAGGTAGATCTGTCTATTCAACTCAATTGCACAAATACAATGCACATATACACAATCAAACTTTGTGATGAATTATAAGTGGATTGCTCATAGAAAATTATTTCAGTGTTTCCTCATAGTGCATCCTCTTCCTGATAACTCCCCCTTCAATATTCATATTGAATTTATTGTGCTTGGATAGGTAAATATGCAGCCATGATGTAGATTTTAGATAAAGATTGATTCGTGATAGCGATAGGGTGTAGGTATGTGTCAAATATGTCTACTCAACTGCATGTGGGTAGGATGTAGGTATGTGTCAAATATGTCTACTCAACTGCATGTGAATGAATTCATCTATACACAATAAAATTACATGACTAGGTATGAATCAATCAAACATATCTAAATCAAAATTTGTGATGAATTATAAGTGGATTGCTCATAGAAAATGACCCGACTCTAGTGTGACCTCGGTCCTCATAGTACATCCTCTTCCTGATAACTTTCCATCAGTATCATATTGAATTTCTTGCGCTTGGAGAGGTAAATAAACAGAGCCTATGCTGTAGATTTTAGATAAGGGTTGATCCGAGATAGGGTGCAGATATGTGACAAATCTGTCAACTGCGTGTGAATGAATGCATCTATACACGAAAAAAATTACAGTGACAAAAATAAGTGTCAAATCGATCAAACACAAACCTAATTTTAGTGCGTCCTCGTAGAAGTTCCTCTTCACCAAAGCCAGTCCTCAATATCATATTTTTGCTCTCTTTCTTCAGTTTTTCGACCGACTGACTGAGTTCCTTCAAACTGGCTTCAGTTTTTAAAATCTTAGTCTGGTAGGAAGAAAGAAAGTCAAAAATACAGTTTAATGGATAAATATTACATGTGATGTGGGACAATTTGACCCCAAACCATGTTAACTTGAACTGATTCGCAATCAACTGCTTCGATAATCCCTTGAGCAAAGGGGGGAAACTCAAATCTTCTAAGATTAGGCCAATAGCAATATAAATGATGCATAAGGGTGAACACAGATATTACCATATTTTGCAATCATTTTCTTTTAGTCACTATGACTACAAGTGTTGTTTGAGCATTGAAATTGATTACTGTGTTTGATAATACAGATTTTCATGTTGTAAAAATATGGATAATGTCCAGAAATTTCTGATTAGGTTTGAAAAAGTTGGAGCACAAAATCGAATTTGGTTTTCAGTATTAGCCACATTTCCATTGAAATGACAATAATATATACATCAAACTAGTTTTCTGTTGCATCTCAACATATTTATTTTGTCAATAATAAACAAACCACATGATATACATGTTCTGGTCTATTCCAATATGGGTAATTGAATGCTTATCCATATTGTTGAAAAAAGAAAATAAAAGAAAGTATTTGTATCCATATTAAAAAGGACAAATATCAGATATCCATACATATGCCAAAAGAAAATTTCAGCATTGGATTCAGATTGAAATGCCTGCATTTGTTCAAATCCTAGAGGTCAATATAAGGTGATATTAAAATTACAATTAGATTCATTCATTTGATCAATGATTCCTGGTTTTTTAATATCACCACAACTTTGCAGTCCATCATAACAATGAACAAGATCTTTGATTGAGAAAAATACCTACATTGTCAAAAAGTAAAGTTATCAAATCTTCTATCAGCTACAATTCCATTACTAAATGTTGAAACATGGACCATCGGCTCAGATTTTCTAGGTGACAAAACAAAAGAAAGGCTATGTGCTCAATGTTCCTCAAGCTCCATAACTCTTATGATGGTAGGTAGGAACCTAACTAACCATTGTGCATAGCCAAAGGTGAAAAAAAGTGTAACGAAAATGATGATGTCACAAAAATCGAAAGAAAATGATATAGGAAAGTGGTAACTTACATTACCTGGAACCAATAAACATTAGAAGTCCAAACACCAAACATGCTGAGGAACTTAGGCTAGTCTAGAAAACAACACACACCTTGTATAGCATGGTTTCTCGTAAGATCGAAAACATTTGACCCAAGACAGGTAGTGTAATATTCCTCAGGAACAAAAGATGGTATCTTTGAATGCCCCAGGTAAAGAAGATGAAAGAATGAGGATGAAGATTGAAAAGGTAGAGAAAGACACAATTCTTTTAGACCTTGTACTATTTAAAAGTGAAATATAGACCGTGTATTTATCCAGTAGTAATTGTCCACAAAGAAATCAATCAACCTTCTCTAACAGGATGCTCAAACATGCCCTCCTATCAAGTAGCAAACTCCACAAACCTTTCCTGTCAATAGGTCTAGGCCGGAAACTACAACCATGGATTTTCAACCATGAAATTTACACGATGGAGAAATATATATAAACAATTAGATAGTCAATATATAAAATAAGTAAAAGAAATTAAAAAGTAGATATCTTGTACTAATGATAAGAGAATTCACCTCCTCACTTTGTAATCGTCCTAAAGTGTTCCGAAACAGAAATCTCCTAGGACCTGCAGAGAGACCAATCTCTTCTAAATTCAAAAAGCAGACGTGTAGTACCAAACATATTAGGCAATGATGTACACAGGATATCGCCAGTTCCCTTTCCAGCAATTACTCTAGTTTATCCAAGATGGCAACCTAGCTGTAACTACTGTTGTCCCAGAATACCTCGCATGAGGAGCAGTCCAGAAGCAACAGCAATTCCACCTGATGCAGCTGGGTTCTCTCGAACGATCAAAAGCCCATCTGAGTACAACGTAGTCGTCAGACATTATTTTAAAAAATTACTGTGACTTTGTAGGCATATCCAGGACTGGTTTAAAGTAACTCTCTTCTAGCAGATTTCACCTTTAACTTTCTGCACAAAGGCATCCTCATAAATTTTGTATTGTGACGTCAATCCCGGCATCACCTCCTGCAGACAAACCAAAAACCAAAGGAAAAGACCAATATTCTTGGTTAGCCACCTTATAGTGTTTGAGAAGTTCTCAGCAGTGACAGCCAGTAAGCAAGTGGTGTGATTAAAAAAATTACAGAAAGTACATTTAAAAGGTTAAACAATACATAATTAACTTTTATACTTCTCAGTTTCATTGTTTGAAAATATAATTTCCTTTTTTTGGTCTCATTGAGTTATAAGGGTCACCGGGTTCAGGATTTACCTCCACTAGACCACTATTTATATAACAGAATTCCTCAATTTGCAGCCGATACATTTTCCCCTCATTTCCCAGTTTTAACAGGTGTATACTTATTTCATTTGAGCCTGTTATTGATTATGGATCTCAGATTCTGGATTCTTTTTTAAAGTTGATGGTTTTTGGTGTTTTGGTGTTTTGGTTTAGGGATTAGGAATAAGGATGGAAGATATTACTTTGTTGGTGGGACTGCTAATCGGTGCTTATAATAAGGATGGAATATATTACTTTGTTGGTGGGACTGTTAATGGAAAATAAGATTTTGATGGTTGGTTTGTCCTTTAGGATAATTGCTTTGATAATTCTTTTTAAATGGTATGTTTCAGACTGACAGACTTTTAAATATTCTTATGATTAATTGATTCAGGTTTAGTTTTGTTTGAAGTCGAGCCGGGACTTAAATGAATGAGGTGTCAGTTTTGGATTACTTCCAAATCTAGTTTAAATTTTTTAAAGTGGGAATTTGGTTTTGGGTAAGCTACAGTGTCTTGTTCAATTTAGCCTTTATAGTCTTTGGTGTATTTGTTGTAATTTCATAATTGGTTAGTTGACCTTTTTCAAAGATATCTAGTTTGATCAAATAAAATGTTAAGGGGTAAGCGCGAACAGACCCCCTGTACAGTATCTAATTGGGAGGAAGACCCCCTGAGTGACTTTTTTTCACTCTTACGGTGTGTTTGGATTTCATTGTGGGTAGGGGAAGTTAAGGGGAAATAGGGGAGAAAAGACCCCCTAAGTTCCACCCCAATTTGGGGGGAACAAATTTCTAGAGGGTAATATAGGGGAATGAGGGGGAACACTTCCCCTCCTAAAAAATTCCTAACAGGGAGAATAGGTTCCTCTATCTTCCCTTCTCCCCTATCCTCCTCTATCCAAACAGGCCCTTTAAAAAGTCAAAAAAAATTATAGAGGCAATAGACCCCATGCAATTCGATTGGTGCGGATAGACCCCTAATTGCATATGTTTATTGACTCTTAAAAGAGTCAAAACAAAAAAGTTCACTAAGGGGGTTTATCCACATGTGGGCAAATAGTACAGGGGCCTATCCACATAATTAGAATTACAAGCCGTCTATCCGCAACTGGGCGATACTATAGGCAGTCTATCTGCAATTAACCCAAATGGTAAAACAATGGCTAATGTTTGATAAAATTAATACTATTGTTTAAGAAAAGCCTTTTTTTTGGTGTTCTACGCATATATAAGTCACCTTTTAAAAAAATTCCAAACATATCCTAGAATTATATACACAATTTCCAATAATTTACAACTTCATAAACGACAAATTTGAAAAAAGGCAACCAATAATCTTCTTCATAACTAACCCCACTATCTCATAACTAACAAGCCATTCACTACTTCATAACTATCCTATTCTTGAAATGCCATACACTTATATTATTTTGTGGAACTATTTTTAATACATGCATTAATTATTAATCATTAAGGTGTTAAATAATTTATTTATTGTGCACAAGGGTGTATCATATTATGCACGCATTGCGTGCAACAGAGTAGCATCTAGACTTGTCGGTTTTCTTTTCTATTGTTTTTTCTAACTGTGTCATACAATTATTACTAATTATTATTTTAGCTA